ACTTCAGAATGGGGCAGAAAAACTCTTTTCAGGTACAATGAAAAGAGCAATGTTTTTATTTTAATAAGTCCTGATGCTGTAACTGTCTCCTCTGTGTCTGGGAGCTGCAGTGCCACTGGGTGATGGAGCTGCTTGGGCAGGACACGGGGATTCAGCCTGATTCCTTCCCTATGGGGAAGGTGTGGGCTTGGGTTCAGCTGGGCCTTCCCTATCTATCAATTGCTTATTAGCTTGTAGGGTCACCTCCCTCATTATCTGGAGGAACTCCTCACCCCATCAGCTGTCTGAACAGACCACATCCCCACTGAGCCACATCACTGCACTGCCATGCATTGTTCACCTTTACTGTATGGACATCATGAGGATGTGAAATAAACAGCCTGAGAACTACCTGCCTTGTTGTGCCTGTGTGTCTGGAAAAGCTGTGAGGTCGGATGCATCCTGCTGTCCTACAGGTCACGCTGCATTATGGCCATTGGGAAGGAATGCAGAAGCATGGAGTCATTCAGGTTGGAGAAGACCTTGGGGGATCCTTGGGGACCCCCCACCCCATGCCCCTCATTGACCACATCCCTCAGTGCCACATCTCCATGGTTCTGTGACACCTCAAGGGACGGTGACCCCTCCACTCCATGGGCAGCTGTGCCATTCCATCACTGCTCTTTGAGAGAAGAAATGTTTCCTGATATCCCTCCCTGCCCACAGGTGAGTGTTAGTTACATGGCCCATGCAGGGCTGCAGCCTCATTCAAAAAGAAAGCCTCAGCAAGCTTGTTTTTCTACAGGAATTGCTGCAGTGCAATTTATCACCCCCTCTGTTCTCTTCCTATCCCCACTTTGTTGACCCTAATGATCTTCTTTCATTGTTTTCTCCTTTCATCTGCAGCTCCTTTCCCTCTAAGCCTCTCCCTGAGCCAAACTGATTTGCATGCATCCAAGGGGAGAATCTGCCATTAGTGCCGCTCTGTCTCTGCTCTCCGTTAGGATATATTTAGCTGCTGCCTTTGTTGGTTTTTTTTTCATTTTTTTTTTCCCTTGCTGTTCAGTGTCTTTACAAAGCAGGTGCTGGGATCGGAAAGGGAAGATTAAAAATACCTGCTGTCAGATACCTCTCCCTACACAGCTGTGCTTGCGTGCTGCACAAAGCGAGTGCAGGGGCAGAGTGGGTAACAGCTGCCCCTTGAAAACCCCATTTGTAATTCTAATTTTTAATGATTTTTTTTTCTGTCTTTCAGTCATCCCTTTCCATGCTGCTATGAATTTCCAGAGCAATGATTCCCTCCAATGCTGTGTGTGAGGACAGAGTGCTTTTTTTTTTTTGGCTGGTAATCCATCCAACACCCCTCTGTGCAGACACAGCCCTCGGGGCACGGCCTTCAGATATTAACCATCACCGACTGCTGCTGCTCCCAGTCCATTGGAAAGGAGTCTGGTGAATCAGCATCACCCTCCTGTGATGACTGGGACAGGCTGGTGCCATGCAAGCCCCACAAGAGGAAGAGAACATTTATAAAACCTCAGCAGGAGGGAAACCATAGAACCATCAGGGTTGGAAAAGATATCCAAGATTACCAAGTTCAGCCTTCAGCCTGACCTATGGAGACCCACAATTATGCACACATGCATAAGCTCTCCCTCCCCTTCTCCCCTTACCTCCCATTCTTTTCTGTACCCTTCCCATTCCACCAAGCCACATGACTTTGCATTTCCTCCTCTGCTCGCATCCCTCAGCTCCTTCCCTTCTGCTCCCATTCTCCACGCCCAACATCTGTTCCCTATTTACCGTGGCTCCTCTTCCTTCTTCCACGTCTCTTCCAGCAAAAATACCTATAGGGAAATAGCAACGGGGAGGTTCTTATCAGCAGGGCTGGATGCTGGGACCTTGCTGGTGATGTGAGGGGCCATGCTGGTTCCACGGGTGGTGGGCTTCATGCTGCCAGTGTTGCAGCATGTTGATGGGAAAGCAGCCCAGCCCCGGGCATTGCAACACAGCTGGGTTTTTGTGTTCCAAAACAAGGGCTGATAACACAGAGGTGGACAAGGACTGGAGCTGCAGGAGGCTGCTAGGCTAAATGAGACAGGAAGCACATAATTAAATTAGATATTGAACAGAATGAAGACATCTGAGTACACACACGTAGCTGGGCTCAGAAGTTATTGCATAACCCTAATGAGGAGCTGTGCATTAGAAAATATAGCACGGACCATCTCCCACGCTGGAGTTCACCCACTGAAGGGGAAAGTTCAAAACCTGCCCCGAGGCAGCAGGGCAGAGGCTCAGGTATAATTTTCCATGGCTTTGTGCATCTTCTGGCTGAGCAGCCTTGCTGCCCAAGAAGATGCAGCCTCCGGCTGGCTCTTGATTTTAGGTTTAGGTTGGATTTCGGGAAGAATTTCTTCCTGGAAAGGGTGGCCAAGCCTTGGAGCAGGCTGCCCAGGGAAGAGGGGGAGTCCCCCATCCCTGGGGTATTGAAGAGATGTGTAGATGTGATACTAATGGACAAGGGCTAGTGGTGGGCCTCTATAGGTCAGGCTGAAGGTTGGACTTGGTAATCTTGGATATTTTTTCCAACCCTGATGGTTCTATGGTTTCCCTCCTGCTGAGGTTTTATAAAGGTTCTCTTCCTCCTGTGGGGCTTGAAAAGTCGATGCTCCCATTGCAGCCTTTTCCTAACATCTGACTTCCATCAGCCTTCTCTCACCTGAGCATTCAAAAGATGCTAGAGGGGACAAGGTATGTCTACACCTTATTTCTATGGGGAAAAGCAGTGGGGAAGAAGGGGCTGGAGCAAAGTGACGGCTGGAACGTCAGGGCCAGTGATCACAGAACCACAGAACATCCTGAGTTGGAAAGGAAACAAGGATCATAGAATGGCTTAGATTGGAAGGGACCCTAAAGATCATCTAATTCCAAGTCTGCTGCCATGGCCAGATTTTCTCCTGTGAGCTCTGGCCATTACTATGTTGGATTGATGCTGGCAATGGGGCAGTAAGGCAGGAGGCAGCTTGGATTCATGAAAGATGCCTCTGCTGGCTGATGAGTTGGTGCTAATGGGAGAAGCGTGGAGGAAGGAGAGGATGAGGAGTATCCATTCAGTTCCCATCTTCTTGCCTGTTTCTGTGTCTTAGTTTCAGTAGAGTTTCAGCTCTACTTTTTCCATCTTCAGTTCCCATTGGGATGCCCCTTTACCAGGTGTTTCCCCACGCTACGTTCAGTCTTTCATCAGTGCTCTTCCCCTCCCCTTCTCCCAGACAATCTGCGATGAAGAGACACGGGCAGACATCAGCCCTCATTTAACCAGCCTTGAACTTGGCCATGATGCTCTTTGAGTAGTGCCAAAATGCCGGAAAGCTCTGCTCTGCACAGCAGCGTGGTGCCGGGGGGCTGCCATGGGGTCAGCAAGGTGTGCTGATCCCTGTGTTCCTGCTGCAGTGATGCCACCACGCCAGCCTTCACCGTGCAGGGATGAGGGTTTGGAGTCATCAGCCGGTGGGATGGTGCTGACTAATTGCTTGTCCCCTTCACCGTCCCCACGGTTACTCAGCAGGCTGCACACGTCGGTGGACGCAAGCCTGTTTTTTCCACTTATCGAGGAAGCAGTGCTGACTGTGAAGCTCAAGGACGAGCCTCCCTCCCCCTCCCTTTGCACCTACCCAAGCGGTTATCATCTCTGCTGGTGCCGAGCAGCTGTTGGTTGGCTGGAGGCTGGAGTGGAGCCGGGTACCCTCCCAGCCCTCCCACCCCATATAAGCACAGCTCCTCGACATTATTCCAGCCAGCAGCACGCAACGCAGAAGTACAGGTGGTGCTCAGAGGATTCAATGAGTTGCTGGATGCCTCGGTGCCCAGCTCTCAGCATGTGCCGACGATTGGCTGCGCTTCCTATCGTTTGCCTGGAGAGGTAAGGGGCTTTGCCACGCCGCAGCACTGGGAAGCAGAGGGTTAGCTGGAAAAGATGCTCCAGACGTTGGATCAGCCTCTGCTGATGTCTTGATAGAAATCAGGGTGCAGATTGCACTGAACTCACAGCTAGGGACGGCTGCAGGATTTGCTGTGGTTCCCAGGGAGGGATGTAGAGCTAAAACACATAGGCTGCCCCACACCTTGCCGTGTGCACATACGATGTTTATTCTGCCGTCTCCATCTCAGCACAGGTAGGCAGCAGCACTGCTTTAATTGAGGCGCTCACAGCACTCAGTGACATCCTGCCAAACATGGCTACAAAGCCATGCAATGCTGGTGCCCTGACATTTAAGCACTTATTTTTGCACGGGCGCTCTGGGATGCCAGCAGGAGCTGCAGGACACAAATAGCAGCAGGGCTGCGCGCTGCCAGAGGACCCAAGGGAGAGGAGTGGATTAAGCAGCAGCTCCTGCCCTGTTGCTGCAGGACACCCGGTGGGGGCTCTGAGTTGGCACAGCTGCCCTTGTGCTGTCCAAGTCCCCGAGGCATGGGGTAGGTGACAGCGGCATCTCTGTGGCACCCCCAAAAAGCAGGGGAGCAGCTGTGACAGCACAGCATGGAGATGCTCCCTCTCTGCTGAGCAGAAGGCGAGTGCTGTGATTTTTCCAGCTCGCTGCGGAGCACAGTTGCCAGGGAGCAGAAAAAGCCATTAGGGGACTGCTTGATGTATGCAGCAGAAAGCAAGAAAGGAGGAGAAAGAGCTACCCCTGCAAACATGGGATTGCAAACAGGGATGGTGGTGGAGGTCCCCACATTCCAACCTCTCCACTTCCTCCCTTCCAGAGCCAAGGAACTCAAGACCCGCTTGGGGATCCTGCTGCATAAACCGGAGCTGAGACACGGCAGCGGGGCAGCAGGCAAGCTGCAGCTGGGCTCCAGGCGGAGGTAAGCTGAGGCTGCAGGTCCCCTTGGACTGGGCTGTCCCTGGGGATGCTCTGCTTGGCGGGGAGGATGCGGTTCTGCTCGTCCTGGCGGTCCCGCCCCACTGCCTGCCACGTCCCAGCTCCACCAGTTATAAAGTCGGGTTGGGGAGGGATGCACCGGCATTAGGCAGAGTGGGGGCTTTGCATCAAGTTGGAAAGCCAGAAGGCTCCCACAGGTGCTGGTACTTCAAACCCATGCCTGAGTCCACCAGGGAATGCATACAGCATTAAAAACAAAATACTGAACCTTGCGGCTGTTGGCCAGGCACCTGCATGCAGAGGGGGCTCTGCTGGGCTGCTACTGGGGAAAAGGGCTCTGCTGAGCATCCTCTAGAGGAGACTGCCCAGCCAAAGCTGCACTATGGAGCTGAGATCTGGTGAGCCATCGGGGAATGTAAAAGAAAGAGGAAAAGAGAAAGGAAAGAGGGCTCACAGGTAAAGGATACTGGGGTCTCACTGTGGCTGTCTGCTGGTGCTGCTGCTTCTCTTCTTGTGCTGTCTCATCGTGAACTGCTTTAATGAAGTGCTCCCACCTTTTGCTGGCAAGATGGCAAGCCTCATGTCCTGTTGTTTTTTGTTTCTTTTTTTTGCAGAGACTCCTCACGAGAAGTGCTTGAGTGGAGGGAATCCTTTGACCAGCTCCTCAAGAGTAAAAGTGAGTCGGATTTTGTTTTTTCCTCTTTATAAGAGCATGTAGGATGTATCCTGGAGCCAGATCTCCTCCTCAGTTAGCTGCTGTAGAAACTCGGAAGATGCCCCCATGCTCAGTGTGCAGCCAGCTCCCTGTGGCTTTACCCTTCCCTTCTGGCTGGATGTTTTTGGGGGGCAGAAGTGCTGTCTCACAGCTTTGTGGGCCAGGAACAATGCCGCAGGCATGCTGAGAGGTGGCATGTACCTTTCCATTACATTCTCTGGGCTCATGTCTGCTGCCCATGTAATTGCTTTCACGCAGGATTTTATTGTTTTGGAAAACATTGCTGTCCTCTGTCTGCCCATCCTATACCTCTCCTATGGCTCTTACATGGAGAGAGTTCAACTGCTGTGCTGAGATGCACACCTCCATTTTCCTCTCCAAAATTCACGGCAGTTTATATGGTTCATGTAAGGCGTTGTACCCGTAGGGCCAGCAAGGAGACCAAATATGAACACAAAAGTATTTGTCTGCTTAAATTTATTCCATGGCAACAGACAGTCCTTCCACAGTGCTAGTCTAGGGCCAGGCATCTTTTTCCAGCCTTCGTCATGTGCTGTGAAGGTTAGCAGCTTTATTACTTATTGTTACTCAATAAATACATTCCCCCAAGCCTGGTTCCCTGCTGCAGGCACTTCTCCCATACTCCTCAGCATCTCATTCCCCTAAATCCCAGCTGAGAAATAAAAATAAAGCCATCTCTCCTTGATTCCCGCAGGCATACTCATATCTCAGCAGATTTTCCCTTCGTAGAATTAGCTCTTTTCCGAAACTGTAAAGAAACCACTCTAAAGACTCATTACAGAAAGGTCAGATAAATAAAACTGGAGGATTATTTGTCTGTGGGAAAGGATTTTATTGGAGCCTTAAGGCCAATTAGCAGAGGTTCAGAGGCTGGAGTTTGTCCAGAGGGAAAGGAAATCCACAGATGCTGTGGTATGGTCTCCCAGGGAGATGGTGGGCAATACCACATCCAGCAGCCCCATCACCTCCCAGTGCAAGTCCTGATGACTTCTTCCCCTCCAACCCCACTCACTGCCTGTCCCTCTGTTGCAGATGGGGTAACTGCCTTCCACACCTTCCTGAAGACTGAGTTTAGCGAGGAGAACCTGGACTTCTGGCTGGCCTGCGAGGACTTCAAGAAGACTCGCTCCAAAACCAAGCTGGCCTCCAAAGCCAACAGGATCTTTGAGGAGTTTGTCCAAAGCGAGGCACCCAGAGAGGTGAGAGCTGACCCTGCCTCTGCTGTGTGGCACTAGATGGGAAGGGGAAGGGATAAAACATCCAAAAATATCCAATGGGTTTTGATAGATGCTGTTTCATCTCAGTGGGAAGGTTTGGCCCCATTCACCTGAGCTTTCCAAGCTCATGTTGTGACCCAAAATGAAGGGGTGTAAAAGCCTGCGAGTTTCATACAAGGAAAAGTTTCTTCTCAGAAGGAATGGTGAAGCATTGGCACAGGCTGCCCAGAGAGGTGATGGAGTCACCATCCCTGGAGGTGTCCAAGGGAAGGGTAGATGTTACACTGAGTGACATGGTCTGAGCAGTCAGAGGCACGGGTTGATGGTGGGTCTTGATGATCATAGAGGTCTTTCCAACGGTAATGATTCTACGACCCTGTGTCTTCATCCTCATTAGGAGAAGCCTGCTCCTCTCCCCACACTGGCCAGCACTAAGCTAACATTTATGGGCACTCCTTCCTCGCAGGTTAACATTGACCACGAAACCAGGGAGATCACCAGGAAGAACCTCACAGGAGCCACCTCCGCTTGCTTCAACGAGGCTCAGGCAAAGACCCGCACCCTGATGGAGAAGGACTCCTACCCCCGCTTCCTGAAGTCAGCCTCCTACCAGGACATGACCAAGCAGGCTGCCAGCCGCAGCATCAACAAGCGCTTGCACACCTGACCCATGCCCAGCACCAAACCCGCTCCGGATGGGCACCGAGGGCCTGGTGGTGGAGTTTTGGCTGAAATCCCAGCCTTCCAGCAGGACGCCCAGGACCTTCAGTGCTCCCACTGAGGCTGCCCTACGGAGAGGCCACCCCACTGCCGGTGGTCCCGTTGTAGGGCTGCACAGGATTGAAGCCATCCGTGTTTCAGCAAGAAGAGCGGTGGGCCAGGGAGCAGCATGGCCTTAGCAATGACTTTTCTATCCTTTCCTTAAACTTTGTGGCCTGCAGGCTGCACCTGAACTTAGGTCACAGGCATTTTTGTTATTGTTATTATTTATTTTGTGGCTATTGTTATGATATATTTATGAGAAGAGCACTGCTCAAAGCACGCGCACATCCCTTGCTTGGAGGAGCTTGTAAATTAATTTATTTTAGGTATTGCAGCACTTAGCATGCCTCCCACAGCTTCTGTGTAATAACTGCAAGAGAGAAAAATAGCTTTGTAATGCATCTGTGGAGCAAGGTACGCAAATAGCAGCAGGGAAAGCTGCACCGAACTGGGTCTGAGGTTCCTGGGAGCATGGAGGACCATTGATGGCCATAAAAGGATGCTTTGCAGTTCATGCCATTTCCCTTTTTTTGCCCTTAAATAGAGCTCTGTGGCCGGCACCTTGGCACGTGGGCTAGCAGCTTGTTCTAGGCAGAGAATAGCAGAGCAGAAGGGCACTTTGAGTGTTGAAAACTTATTTTTAAATCACTTAGGAGGTAAAAGCTGTGTTTACAGTTTGGTTTACAGTTGGGTCTGGTGTTGCCCTGGCCGGTCTGCAGCTGAGGAACCCCAAGGACCAGTTTAAGGATGTTTCTCTGAGTCCTCTTCCCGCTTCTACCTCTGAGTCTGGTGGGTCTCAGCTGCATTCATGGGGCTATTTGAGCTGTTTCGTTATTTATTATTTACTTTTACAACTGGAACCACCTTCGTTGTGTTACTGAAGTGAACGGCATACAGAGGTCCATTTTTGCCACAGACATGAGGTCATGGTTACAAAATAAAACACAAAGAGGGCAATGCTGTGACACCACTACTGGTTGTGGGCTTTTCATTGACCTTCTCTTGCAGCCTTTGGGGGGCCGTTACAAAGCACACATGTAAGGAAAGCTGCTTGTGGTTCGTGGCTTGAGGCCCCTTTAAAACTTGTGACCTAAGAAAAACAGCAAGGGAAGGGGAAACCTGAGAAGAGTAAAACTTCCTCATGGTACCAGGAAGGGTGTTTGGAAATCACCCAACTCCTGCTGAGAACATATTGTCTCCCAAGGTCCAGGATGCTTCATCCAAGTGCTGCCCCAAATAACAACCAAACCAAGCATGCCTTTAAACCTCCAACTTTCTATTTATTGCCTGTATGGAAGGCAAAATGAGCTGTATTGAGGCGGGCACCAGTGCAGGAAGTGAGGAAGAGTTGTGTTGCAGATAATGGGCACTTAGATCCCAAAGCAATGCTGCTAACACTAGTGGGTCACAACCATTGCAGTGATGTTTGCAAGCAACAGCCTCCATAACAAACACTCCTGTCTCTTCTGGCATGGCCACACATTCCAAAGATCACATCAGCTCTTCTTCTACAATTGTCATGCACCTGAATGGAGGAAGAGAGATGAAGCTGCCCACCTCATCTTTTGTTCAAGAATTGAGGTGAAACATAGCCAGCATGTGTTTAAATTAGCCAGAAATAAAGACTCCAAGAGCAACAAATGGCACTGAGGCAAATAGAAACAAAATCACATCCATTTGATTTGCAGGGCCTAACAAAAAAAAAAAAAATTCTTGCACACTTTAACATCAATTCAAATGTGACTTTCTACCAAAAAAGTCAATTTGGAAAAAAAAAAAAAAAAAAAAAAAAAAAAGTCAAATTGGCATTGTTTCATTTCACAAAGAGAAAACTCCATTGACAAAACCACATGCTTGCATCTAATTCATCCTTCACTGCTGGCAAAACCCCAGGCTCATATAACAAAGCCTTGGGGAAAAAAAAAAAACAACAAAAAAACCCTCAAACTACAGACCCCCCTTGAGAAAGCAGAGCTGAAGCCTCCCATAAACCATAGCCAAAGTTTCCCAGGGCAATGTCTGGGAATTTGGGATCAGATTCTGATATGTGACTGCATGCATTCGTCCATTATGTATTATGGAAAGACAACCTGCAAATAAATGCTACAACATGAAGGGCAGTATTCCTGCTTTCTGGCACTGCAGGGTGCTGGGCTCTGCAGCCTTATGCTCCATGCTGGCTCTGATGTGCTGCAGCTGTAACCCAGGCACAGCTGGTGGGGAAGGGCAGGGGGTGGGAAACAGATGGGAGAAGCTGTGCTGGGATCCCCCTCCCAGCTGGGGAAATGCATTTAAGTTTATGTCCTCAGGTTGGGTGCCTGTTTGAAGTACTTTGGGTGCTTTTAGTGGATCTGTTCTGCTCTTCTTGTCCATGCACTGTGGATGGTGACCTGCTTGGTGGGGTACTTGTATGCCTGGGTGTTTTGCTCAACTCTTCTTGAGCCCGCTTGCTATGGATGTGCTGTTTAGACTTGGTTTTCTTTGTACTGGTGAGAAGAAAGCAGCAGCCCAGAAGGGAAGCAAATATAGATAGGAAGTGTAGCAAGTGCTGCAGAATGAGCTTTGGTTAGTTCTTCAGGCTGGATATTGGGAAACATTTATTCTCTGGGTGGTGATGAATTGGCATAGGCAGCCCAGGGGAGTGGTGGGGTCGCCATCTCTGGGGGTGTTCAAATGGGGAGCTGTGACACTGAATGATATAGAAGACAACACTGGGAATCAATGGATGGTTAGACTAGGTGTTCTTAGAGGTTTTTTTCATCCATAGTGATTCTATATTCAGAGCTCCACCTGCCACAGTTCAGGTCACATCTTCCTGTAGGCTATTTTCCAGTGCTCTGCTCCAGCATGGTAGCGTGGCCAAGCATATAAATCCTTGGATGTTCTTAGTTAGAAATATAATAAGGAAGGAAGTACAAAGAACACGAAAAAAAAGACCCATCCTTACTATTCTTAGCTTCTTTAAAAATTATTTTGACTTAGCAGGCAATTTCTGTTGTCATCTTTTAGATCATGTTTATTTGTGGCCAATGCGTGGATGCTATCTCAAGGGAGAGCTGCAAACCGGGTGTGTGTCCATCAGCATGGAGGAACAGGAGGACTTGCATCACTGTGTGCTTTGTCTCCCTGCTTTTTGTGTCCACAACCCATCTCCTGAGCTCTCTGCTTTGCTGGTGTGCAGGCATACAACATCGTAGCCATCACTTTTCCATCCTTTGGCTGCTCCTTGTCCTCAGCTTGGCTTTTTCTTTTTGTGGTCCTAATGCTGCTGTTATGCTGTGAAGTTGAGCTTCTGCACTGCAGCCCCAAAAAAGCTGTTGTAGTGTTGGAGGCATCCTGAGACTGTCTCTGTCTTGCTGGCAATAATGCTGTTTACAAATGGTTTGTATTGTGGCTAACAATTTCTGATGGTGCATCTGTCAGAACTGGCTCCCTTTCATCTTTATGCTATTAAACAGCAAACTGCTTTAATGTAGTTGGGTGGCATTGGTATTTTTGTGTTGTAAATTGGATTATTTTTTTTTTAGTAATAGGTTGCAAGGATCATGCTCAAAGAGCTGCAATGCAGGCCTGCTTCAAGCCAAAGATGACTCTTCAAAAAAGGCTTCTGGACCATAAATAAGTACAGGCTGTCCAGGAGGGTGGTGGGGGTTACTGTCCCTGGAGGTGTTCCAGAACCATGGAGGTGTGGCACTGAGGGATGTGGGCAGTGGGAATGGTGGGGGTGAGTTATGTTTGGACCTGATGGTCCCAGAGGTCTTTTCCAGACTTAATGACTCTTTGATAGTTGGACAGCTGGACTGAAAATGCCTGTGCTATATATATCCACTGGCCAACAGCTTGGAAATCATAGAGCTATGGCAGAGTTGCCCACAGTTATCTAAAAGTTGGTACTCCCTTACGTGAAGAAGCTGTGCTGAATCTGTAGCAGATTACCTTGAGTGGTGTCGTAGGAGGGGAAGATATAAAAGGTGATCCGGGGTGACAGCCATCAAGAATGATGTAGGAGGCAGTTGCCTTCTTCCAACATGGCTTGGTGATCCCCTGGGTGAGACTTACGAGATTCTGTTTGGTCATGAGAATGGAACCTTGCAAGTAGGTTTGCAGACCTCTGCTGCATGCTGAAAGTGCCCCCGAACACACCTCCCAAAAGCTTGTTTTCTCCTCCAAAAGTCAGCACAATCCTTCCACGTGCTGCTCCATCCTTTGGGAGCTTGTTCTTGGCAAAGCTGCTCCCTGGCTCTGGAGCTGTCTTAAGCTGTTGCTGGGCTTGCAACTGATTAGAGGATCCTGTTCTTGTCTGCCTGGAGCTGGTGGTTATGGCTGACAATGTGTGACTGCAGGCAGGGCTGTGTGACTTGGCGTGTCCTCTGGCTGAGAGCCAGTGGGATGGGCCAGAAATGCTTAACACTCCTTTGGGCGGGCTGTTCTGCATCTCGGAAGAGGAAGAAGAAGAAAAAAGGGAAGGACAGACATAGATCTCCATTTTGCATGCTTTTCCTCTCCTTTTTCTCTTTCCAGGGCTTGCAGGTTCTTCTTGCTGGTGGTGGGACACTTGGTGGAGCCCTGTTGTGCTGGAGGGGTGGGGGTGTCAGTGAAATACAGTGTTCAGTTACTGCTTTGTGGTTTGGGGAAGAGAGGGTGGGAGCCATACTAGAATGGGTCTTTGTCTTTCCCGAGGGTACACTGCTGTGAATTTAAGCTTTGGCTTCTTGCATAAAAACTGCTCTGCCCCTTTTCTGATTAGTTCAGATTAATTATCTAGGATTCTGCTTGTTAGGCAGGAGAGTGCCAGTTTCTGCCTGCATCTGTGTTCTCCAACTGGATGGGGAGAACATCAGGGACCAGCTTACTGGGTAACCTGCAGGAAATCCATCATTACTTTACTAACAAGAGCATCCTAAATTCACTCCATCCCTTCATTCAGATGTGCCATTCTGCTTGTGTTGTGGCCAGTGAAATGGGGCAAGCAATGAGGATGAGTGGGGAATGTGTCCTCCAGTAAATGTTGTAGTCATGCTTGTTTCAGCTAGCATTGGCATTGCTATCCTTAGTTGCTCCTCTCACATCTGCAAGGCATCAGTGTAAACGATTAGGTTTCATGGCTTAATAAAATAGGGTCTTCTGCTTATTAATTAGGTGAAGACCATGAAGCCAATATCTCACCTAGTGCATTCCATCAGCCAGACCTGGAGCATCCCTCATGATGAAGACACTGAGTGTTGACTTAACCCGTTCTTCACTGAGATCTCTGGATCTTTGATGTTTGCTTGGTGAGGAACACCAGGGTACAGAGTCCTCCCTGTGGCCATCATGGAGCCCAGAGCCCACATTCAGCAGGAGGCATCTAGCATGCAGAGAGCAGAAAACATTGCCTCTGAGTTAAATAATGCTTTGCGATATGGCCAGAGGGAAAAGGTACTGGAGCTGCTGGAAAATGGGGCAGATGTGAACTCCAAAGTAGAATTTGGATGGACACCGCTTCAAAGTGCTGTGCAATCTGGTGACAAGGAGATGGTCCAACTTTTGCTGGCCAAAGGTGCGTGCCCATACACCAGGAAGGATAACGGTGGCACTGCGTTTATTGAGGCAGCGATGGTGGGAGACGTGGAAATACTGGAGCTCCTTTTTGGTTGTGGGTTTAACGTTAATGACAGTGACGATAATGGATTCACTGCTTTCATGGAAGCTGCTCTGTATGGGAAGGAGGAAGCCTTGAGGTTCCTGCACAGCAAAGGAGCAGATGTGAATTTGAGGAGGACAGCCAGTGAGGAGAAGAAGAAACTGGGCAAGGGAGGGAAGACTGCATTGATGGATGCTTGTTTGGGAGGCCACTTCTCAGTGGTAAAAACTCTTATCCAGGAGATGGGGGCTGATGTGAACATTTGTGACAATGAAGGTAGGAACGCCTTGATCCATGCCCTCAAGGATAATGTAAGGGGAAAAAATGAGTCAGATGTCTTTGAAATA